ATTAGAGTCTGTGCTTGCAGACTAACATTGTGAGTGTTTGTGTGTCTGTGTCAGCTGTGAGCGAGCCCGAACGTGCAGTAAATGACGTAATATTTATTTCTTCTCTCGACCAATCACGTTGCTCATAAAGTCTCCCATAGCTGAATGGTTTGGGAATCGCAAATTCGCGGCCGGCCCCCTCTTTTCAATAACGTTTCCCAAGCCCTCTGGAATGACCCCAAATCTCCCGATTACAGTTTTTTCCCTTATTTGTCGTTACTGTCACTTTCTATTTCCTTGTCTTCCCCCCCTTTCTCACCCGACTTTTCTCTCCCGACCCACTCAGTGTTATCTAGGGTACGCACAGGGGTGGATAAAGGGGGGGGGGGGGTTCGGCGGTTTAGCCCCCCCCCCCCCCCTTGGGCGGCCAAGTGGACAAAAAGAAGGGGAAACAAGAAGAAGAAAAAAGAAAAAAAGGGGAAAAAAGTAAACAGTAAAACGGCGCGATTTTTGGAAAATCCTGGGTCCGCCACTGGATCAACCCGTCCCTCTCCCTTTGACAAAAAGCTATATCTGCCGCTGACGCGCATGCACGTTCCCTCTCTTTGAAAGCACCCCTCTATCTCCGGTGTGTCAGTACGGGCCGGATTTTTGTGTATTACGGGCCTGACTTCATTGCGTGAGTGGAAGGGAGGGGGGAGGGGGGGGGGGGCTTTCTTCTTTTTCTTTTCTCTTCTCTTTTCTTTTCTCTTCTCCTTTCTTTTTTTTTTCCTCTTTTTTTTTCTCTTCTTTTCTTTCTCTTTTTTTCCTTCCCTTGTTTTTGCGCCGCCAATAGGGCAGGCCAAGGCCGTTTCGGCCCCCTCCCCCTGGATCCGCCACTGGTTTTAGGCATTAAGTTGCCGTCAGATGAGCATATTTTGATACCTTATTTGTGCCACTGGCAGGACACTAATTGGCGTGAGGTCCAGTGGGCGCAGCCTCCAGAAGCTCAGGGGTTTTAGGCATTAAATTACGGTCAGATGAGCATATTTTTATGCTCGAGGCCCCCGAGCCCCGCCGTTCCGTGGGCCCTGACATGTAGGCCTCTAAATAAGCATATTTCTTGCCTGACTGTAAATTTAGGAATCTGTCATTTTCCAACAAACTCATAAACAAGTATAATTTACTAAAAAGTGAGGAAAAAGTGAGGAAAATTATGTAATGTCAGCAACATTTGTAAATCACCGGTATTTAGCGGTAATTGGGGTGGGGGCAACTGCCCCCCCCCCCGATTTACACCTTGTTGGCGATAAAAATCGCAACTGATCTCCCCTCTTTCCCTTTCCCCTTCACTTCCTTCCCTATCTTTTAGGCTTGATGGGAGAGGGAAGGCAAGGGCCTTTCGCTCCCCCCCCCCCGATCCACACGTTGTTGGCGGGATTAATCGCAACAGATCTCCCCTTCTTTTCTTCTTCCTCTTTTTAGTTCCCTTTTAGCTCTCCTCTTTCCCTTTCCCTTCCTTCTCTCTTTTTTTTTTTTTTTTTTGGGGGGGGGGGGGGGGGGGGGGGGGGGGGGGGCGGAGGCGGGGGAGGGGGAGAGACAAGGGCCTTTTGCCCCTCCCCCCCCCCCCCCGATTCACAACTTATTGGCGGGGAAATTGCAACTGATATCCCCCTTCTTTTCTTTTCTATTTCCTCTTAATTTCCATCCCTTTATCTCCTTTTTTTTAATTTTTTTTATTTATTTATTTTCACATGTGGGGTGGATTGCCCTTTCAACTTAAGTTGATTTTCAAAGGGGTCCACACAGATTTAAAAACGGTTACAAATCATATCAACAAACAAGCAAAGAAATAAACAATTAGATACATGAAATATACAAGAACAAAAAAAGCAAATAAACAATTACATTAATTAAATACATGAGATATACAACAACAACAAAATCAGTATCGGTACATTTGGTTAAAAATATGTTTCCATTGTTGAGCTGTGAGTGTGTATACAGATGATGATTTCCTGATTACATTCCATAATTTGGATCCCCTATATTTAAAACATATTTTTCCATAATTTGTTTTTATGCGAGGTATGGAAAAATGCACATCACCAACCCTGAGACTGTAATTAAATGTCTGAGTTATAAATTGCATATAAATGTAACTAGGCAACTCTTTTTTGACAACTTTAACGTTTCCTGTTTTCTTGTCCTTCCTTCTGTCTTATTTTTTTTTATGGGGGAGGCAAGGCCCTTTCGGCCCCCCCCCCCCCATCTCCTTCTTTTCCCCCTTTTCTTTTCTTCTTCCTCTTCTTTCTTTCCCTTTCTCTCCTTTTTCCCTTTCCCTTATTTCCTTCATTCTCTCTATCTCTCTCTCTCTCTCTCTCTCTTTTTTTTTTTTTTTTTTTTTGGGGGGGGGGGATCGCTCGGCCCCCTGGATCCGCGCCTGCCCACCCTCCCCCCCCCCCACCTACTTAGAGAAACGTTCATCAGGGGCTGCATGTGCACTACCTCCAGCTAGCTAGCTAGCTCCAAACAAGCATGTACGTACTAGCCGCTGATATGATGCGCACATGTGTCAACTTATCTCGTGGCTGCACGAGATAATAAGTCGTGGCCTCGAGATAATAAGTCGTGGCCTCGAGATAATAAGTCGTGCCCACGATATATTAAGCCGTAGCTTCGAGATACTAAGTCGTAGCTTCGAGATACTAAGTCGTAGCCACGAGATACTAAGTCGTAGCTTCGAGATACTAAGTCGTAGCTTCGAGATACTAAGTCGTAGCTTCGAGATACTAAGTCGTAGCTTCGAGATACTAAGTCGTAGCTTCGAGATACTAAGTCGTGGCCACGAGGTACTAAGTCGTGGCCACGAGATACTAAGTCGTAGCTTCAAGATACTAAGTCGTAGCTTCGATATAAAAAAATAATTTCTCACATCGTTTTATGTCCCTTAGGGGCTCCGTACAAAACATAACAACAGATGTATACATCTAAAAGACCGGTTCCAACTGGCTTTCAAAATTCAGCATGTCTTTATCAAGACAAAACGTTGATAATAAATATTTCCGACAGCTTTGCAACTTGGTGATTATTTAGAGAAATATCATTACTAGAGGGGGCGTCATACCTCAAGTGATCTCAAGTGATTCTACAGGTTCTAGCTCTCAACTAATGCATGCCTACGCAACTTTTTGCGGGTCATTTTTCGGGACATATGATATTAAGTCATATTACTGCCATCAGAATGATAAGGCGTGATACAAGTAGTTCATAGAAAAATAAGGGACAACCACGATCCCCTCTTCTATCTAGCTGTTTATTTTCTCTTTTTATAAAATGATATCCGTTTCTAATTACCTTAATCCTCTTTTTAAAAAATCCCCTAAAATTGGGTCAACTATAGTGGACCACGACAAAAAAAGGGAAAATTTGGGGTCTTAACCTTCTTGCCCTGACAACGCGTTCTTAACGTCTTTTCTTAGATAGGTATTCACACGATCATCGCTGCCGTGTATACAATGGAGCGCCATGTTTGAAGAGAACTTCGACGCCGGAGTGACGCGGCCGAGCGATTGACTGCGGGTAAGATGCGGTGAGTTACCGCAGCATAGGCCGATGTCGTTGATGCCGAGCTCCTCACATCGGCGACCGAAGTTTGCGATGTCGTCTCGGGAACAGAGCAGGCAGTCGAGGTTGAGCGGGAACGCGATCTCATCTGAAGAGAGAGAACTGTTTTCGTTAATTGTCAGAATGAATTATTCTGGCAGGGATGTGGTTTGTGAGAAAATGGAGCAACCAAGTCAAGGAGACCGCCCACTCCCCAGGCATGCGTCTTTGGTTGGTGTATTGATGATTTGTGATGTTTTGGTGTATTTGAAATCATGTCTATATTGCACTTGATCAGGCCTAAGGGGATTTGTATAGTTGTTATATCATTGACATGAATCATGAAATCATTCTTCATGACCGTCTGATTACAGTTTTAAAAGCTGCTAAAGGTCGTCTAATAAAATTGTCTGGTATTTGTTGTGGTTGTAATGGTGTATAAAATGAAAAAGAATGCAAGTCAATACAAATGTTATCGCATTATTTATAAACTAAGTCGTATAAAAAATTATATATATATATATATATATATATATATATATATATTGCAGGTACAGTATCGAATTATTTTTCAATGTTTATAGCTTTGTAGGGCAAAAAAATAACGGACTGTCGTTAAAGTAGTTTCACCTGTGGTGGGGTCTTTGAGTGCGTGAAAATTGGGCATTTCTTCAGTTGTTCGGTATGTTACGGGAACAGCTGCGATGGGAGTCTGTGAAAAAAGAAAAGAAAATACTTTAAGGTACAAAAAGCACCGGAATCGCATTAGGGTCATGGTGATCAGCATTACTCCCTAACAAATAATTATAATAATATTTGACTCGTCATTATTTACCGAATCAACATACCAATACCGGGATAGTCACGCTTCAATTCATCACCACCATCCCCCCCCTCCCCCCTCCCTCCCGCCACAAACTTCTTCCAGCCTCTCCGTTATGATGATGAACAACTGAACTACCATCATGATAAACGAAAAAGCACCACAAAAGAGTTGCAAACATCTAACGGCAATTGCAAGCTAATTACCAACAACATACTTTTCATGACAATACTCCTTAGGCCAATGAGAATACTCGCAACCGTCCCGGCCTCAATATGGCATTCATTAAACAAAACAGAAAATTAGAATGATCCCCCATAATAATTATGTTAATTTTAATGAATAATTTGTTTTTCTTCGATTTTTAACAAAATTGTTTGTTGTTTAGAGGGGGGTTGTCAGATTTTTTGCGGAGTTATGCCCCTCCACCCCCCCCCCCCCTCCTCCTTTGACAGAATCCTGGGTCTCTCCCTGGTTTTACTCTCAATTCATAAGTACTACTTCAAATTGCCGTTTAGTGTGAACATCCGTTGGTTTTTTTTTTTTTTTTACAGACGTGTAGCAATCAGATACGAATTGATGTGAATAACGCTAACCTTAAAACCAGCACTCTTTATTTTTTCGAGGAACGGCAACATGGTGGCTGGTCCCCTGGAGCATTGAACCCCATTACATCGGCTCCAGCTGCCTCCAGTCGCCTGAAATATTCTATCAGGTCTACTCCATCTAGAGAAGACAGGCTCTTCTGAGAGGCAGCGAGGGTGATGACTGCCGGCAGGCCTAGAAGGTTTAAACAAAAACGGTCAATGGTAAATTTGATCACTTTTTTTTTTCAGTGACCTTATGAATTAAACTATTTTCCATACAAAGAGAGCGGCATCTCTCACTATTTCATCCCAACTGTGAATACAAAATGATCTGATCATTCTCAAAGCTAGACTCTCAGCAAAAAGCATTTTGCAGTACGTAGCTGCATCAAAGACTTGGAACAGCATCCCTCTTTACTTTTACCTGTCATGCCACCTTCGAAAGATCACTCAAAACTTACCCTTTCCCCATTGATCTATGTGATCTACTTCCTGTGAGACTGTACATTAATTATTTTGTCCCCTCTTTTCATATATTTGTATTTGTAAGCGCTATGGTACTTAGTGTTTTTAGCGCTCCTAAATATTCGATATTATTATTAACAAAAAGTCATAACATGCATGTCTACAATCTAGACTACGAATAAGAATAATCAATACACTACAATGTCATTGATAATTCTGAAGTGACCGAAGTTTAACCCTTTCTCTCTCTCTTTCTCTCTCTCTCTCTCTCTCTCTCTCTCTCTCTCTCAATTCCGCCAAACAGACTTATGTTCAATGTTCAAACAAATTATAGCTAAGCCGGGTTCAAGCATGGAGTATACTTAGGTCCAATGTTCAAGAACAGATCTATATTTCAGATACAAATCTATGGCGGATTCATTTTATAACCAAAAAACACACCTACTTTGATATTTATTTAGTTACATGATTGTAATGGCGTTTAATGATCTATTTTGTAATTTATCTAACAGTTTATAGTAACTCATACATGTTGGAAAAGTCTGGTTTAGACACTAGCGGAAATAAGAAAGAGGCAACAGAGGGGTGGAGTACGAGAGGGGAAGAAGAGAAGAGGGAGAAAGGAAAGACCAATGGAAGGGATGGTGACAGAGTGAGAGAGAGAGAGGGAAGAGAAAGAAAGAGAGAGAGAGAGATAAAAAGACAAAGATAAAGAGAGAAAGGGGAGGAGATAGTCGAAAGAAGAGGTAAGCGAGTACATACTGAGAGTGAAAAAGAAGGGAGAGGGGGCTAAGGAAAGAAATAATTTGAGGTAGAAAACGATTATAGTCGTAAAGAGAGAATAGAAAACCATTGGTTATTCAATATTATTGTCCATCTCTATCCTACCGCTTCCAAATTCTTTAATGGCCTCCAAAGCAATCATGGCTTCCTCCAAGATACCAAAAGTCTCTGCTACGATGAAGTCCGCCCCCTCTTCCACAGCCCATAATACTTGCCCCTACCAGAAGAGAAGAGCGAGTGGAATCGAGCGAAGAGAGAAAGAGGATAAAAGTAGGATGATAAAAAGAGACAGAAGACGACAGAGAAGGAAAGCGAAAGTGTATGCAAAATTCAGAGGCGGGATAGATGGGGGGAAAAGACAGAAAAAATAGAGACGAAGTGGAGATACATGAAATACATTTTTATTGATTAAACTATAGACTCAAAGAATCAAGTATGTGAATGAAATTACATAATAATAATAATATTCAGCTTTTATATAGCGCAAATCACAATAAGTCTCTAAGCGCTTCCAAACTTGGATATTATTACATAGAGGTTATATTAAATATTACTTACATAAAGCCTATGAAACTATATATTTCCATAGGTACAACTAATGTGCAGTAATGTTTTGTTTCAAGATCGAACACAGTTTGATGTATTCAATAATCATAGTATATACAGGACGATCGCAGCTACTTTCGAAATACCAACCTAAGGCAATTTCAAAGGCTTTTACGTCACATTTTGTTGTAGAACATAATAATGACATATTACGTAACCGGAACATGATTTGTACAGGTCTATAGGACATACAATAGGATATTCAAGTTGCCCTTGAGTCGATTTTTCGAAAGTAGTTTACATCGTATTAAACATCACAAAGAAACTATTTTGCCCATTTGCTTCTGTCTGGTCGGCCAGAAAGAGAGGCGTTATGACAATACAATGATGGGAGAATATTGAGACATGATAAAATCTTGATCCAGTAATGAGGTAGACATGAGTAACTGAATACCCCTCCCCCCCCCCCCCTTCCACCTCAGCGATTGTCAACCCTGATATTAGGGACTTTTAGATTTGCACGACGAGAACGTGGACTGCTACACGTGACATCTTTTTAAGGCAATGCGACATCCTTTTAAGGCACTGCCGGGCACTGACAGTGCCTTAAAAGGATGTCAAAAATTACTGTAGCAGTCCACGTTCTCGTCATGCAAATTTAAAAGTCCCTAACTCCGTATGACGAAGGACTTCATTAAAATACCGTTTACGGGTGCATAATTATATAGTAGTACGTTTAACAAAAAAAATCTTCATTATTATTATTTTCACTAAAGGGTAAACCTACTTTGAACATATTTTTGACTGTATCCCTGCAACTAGGAACCTTAGGATTGAAAGCGTTCGTATTGCAGATATCACCAGCGACCAGGGTACCGGTCTTATCGGCGACCTCTCGGGCAAGTCGAAGGGCAGTTCGGTTTATTGCTTCAATGTCCTTCTCACGATCAATGAGCGCGAGTTTCTCACGATGGGCGTAATACTGAAAAATATGAATATAGAGATTAAAGATATTTTTTTTTACTTAAACTCATTTGCACATTTTAGTTTGAACGAGATTATGTTGCCATCGGTTGTACGCAGGCGCGTACGCAGGGGGAGGAGGGGGGAACCTTCCCCCTCATTTTTTTTTTTTTTTTTGCTCAAGGGGAGGGGGGGGGGTGTACTGAGTATAAAACAAAACTAATAATAATAATAATTCTCTTCCCCCCCCCCCCCCCCCCCCCTGAGTGAAATTTCAGTTAGCGCGATTTTCAAATTTCAAACACCCTCCTTGAATAAATCATGCGTCGGCCTACGCCACTGGTTGTACGATACGTACTCCTGCTACTCTTGCTCCGCGACATTAGTGAGTAGATGGTAAACAGCACTAAAAAAAAAAATCCTTCATTTTGCCCCAAAAATTTGAAAATCGCGCCGCCCAATATTTCGCTCAGTGGGGGGGGGGGGGGGGGTGGGGGGGGGGGGGGGGGGGGGTAGTGAGCACTACTTAATAAAATATTTGCTATAATTGTATCTTATAAGACAGGGCCCTGATATAAATGAGTTGGACTGTACGGGGGGGGGGGGGGATTTGCAATCATTTTCAGTTTTCAAAAAAAATAGATTCTTCTACTAATCAGCCCCTTATCAATATTTTACGGGTTACATAAAAATATATGCGTGATATAGCGTAACAAATTTGTTTACCATTATTTAAAAGTGATTGGCGAGATCCACTAATAAACCTTTTTTTATAGTTTGTCTTGACTTTTCTGCAATCAACTCTGAAGTGAGGCGAGTAAATTTAAGCGTGGTAAATTAATTCATTTAATTATCGGTCTGTTGAATAGCTATTAAAGTTGATGCGTTCTTTACGCATTTACGCATTACGCATTTAAAGCAGTCGATATCACAAAATATGATTTCTCACTATGTACGAAGAGGTAAATTAGCATGTGCCATGTTTTTCACATTCTACTGGTTACATTTTGAAATTCTAATCATCGAATCGTTTTCACAATGAAATGACCTAATTAATGGTGTGACTTTTATCATTATTCAAAAGTAATTCAATTCAGATTTCAGATTTTTCATCCAAAGTTTTCATTTTTTTTAAATAAAAGATTCAAGTTCTATAGTATTTAGTTACAATTTTATTGTAACTAAATACTATAGAAGCCCGAATCATTCCATAAAGCGCACTATAAACCTTGATATTATGTTACTTGTTTATCGGGCTCTCCCTGGAATCTCGCCATAATACATTAAAGACTCACTACACTCCTACAATCCAACTCGTCTGGAAGTCATAATAATTTGCTGCAAATTCCCCGTATCCGTCATTCATGGGGAGACCATGCTTTTTCGCATGCATGCAGCAGCCAAATTATGGAATAAGCTTCCCCCATCAATTCGCTTTATTGCAACATACTCCACCTTTAAAGATCGTCTTAATACTTATGCCCTGGTCACAAATACCCTTACGGGCTGCTACGAACGCCGTACGAACGATTTTCAGACCATTTCGTAAGATCTTCTTAAGAAGGCCGTACGAAACAAGCGTTCGTAGACCGTTCGTAGACCGTTCGTAAGAACGCAGATTGGTCGATGGTCTTGTCCAAGATTTTTTTTAACATCGTACGAAACCCTCTCTTCGTAAGGCGGCCGTACGAACGCCGTATTTACATCGTAAGAACCACGCAAGATCTACGTACATTTCGTAGGGTCAAGGGACAATTCTAGAAGCTTCAAATTATTACGATGACCGTAAGAACGCCTTAAGTTGTTCATAGAGGGCTCTTACGGCGTTCGTAAGAACGCCCTACGAGCGGAGATTCGTATGGTCTTCGTACAAATGACTCATGGCGTTCGTAAGACGTTCGTAAGGTGCTCGTAAGGTGTACGTACACAATTTATGCAAATATTGAGTTTTAACGGTTATAAAGCCTCACTATGTTCATAGTGTTCGTCGGGGTGCATCTCCTGTCGAAGAAATATGGGACCAAAGGGGAAATCTGTTAGAGGGAAGAGAGGGAAGGGAAACAAATTTAAGGAAAGAGATGAGGAGGAAGGAGAAAGAGGAGGAGAGCAGCAACAACAATATCAAGCAGAGGCGCCGGAAGTGGGGTGGGGAGGGGCAGGGGGCAAGAACAAAACCTGAATTGAATCACATATAAATTATATTCTATTCAAAGAAAAGGAAAGTTAATAGGGATTAAATTTCGTATACATTCCGCTTGCTCCTACATTTTATCAATGGAGGTTTTTATAGAATATGCGATTTGCGCATATCGTGGAAATATTGTAAGAGGATGGGAAAGTGTTTTTTTATTTTTGTTATTGTAGTGGTGAGAAGACATGAGCCCCTAAACAGTGGCGTACTAATGGGCGGGGTTATTTCTAATTCGATACCAGCGATTCACAAACGTTGGTGAAATGACATGATTTTCCGGTATTTTTTCTCATTTTTTTGTGTAAATCATATCTTTTTATGCGTTTGTTTGAAAATTACTAATTCCCAAATTAACATAAAAATTAGCCTAAAAATATGCTTATTTAGAAGCCTTCATGTCAGGGCCTGCAGAACGGCGGGGCTCAGGGCTCGAGCCCCCCTCACTTTTTTAAAAAAGAGAAAAGGAAAGAAAGAGAGAGAACAAAATGTGTGACCTACCAATGTCACAAATGATATATCAAAATATGCTCATCTAACCGTAATTGAATACCTAAAACCTTTTAGCTTCCAGGGGCTCTGCTCCCTGGAACCCCCGACAATTAGTGACCTGCCAGTGACACAAATAAGGTATCTAAATATGCTTATCTCACCGCAATTTAATGCCTAAAAACCATGAGCTTCCGGGGGCTTAGTCCCTTGACCCCCGCCGGTGCAAAGCCCCCGGACCTCACGCCAATTTACGCTACGCTCGCTACACTCTAACCTGATCGTTAATACTCCACTTTGAAAAATGTTCCGTGGGGCCTGCATGTAACATGTAGGCCTAGGAGTGGTGGTGATGCAAATTTTCCTTCTGCCCCCCCCCCCCTCCTCCAAACGATTTTGCTCATTACGCCACTGCCCCTGGAAGGTGAGCCCCCTGGAATTTTCGCCACCCCAATCCCAAACTGCTTTCGGCGCGCCTGATATCAAGAAATGATGGCCATATCGGAAGCGACCAGGAGGAGGCGGTGGAAGATGACGACGACGAGGAGGAGGGAGAACCATCAAGATGGCAGTTTGACGGCGATGAAGATGAGGTAACGGGGAAACTAAGAAAGGAGAAGTAGTCCTACGACTTTGAAGCCACCACAGAGCAAAAACTTGTTGACTTCTTCGGTTAACATGACTGCTTTTATAATAAAGGAAGTAACAGATATGCTAACAGCAAGTTCAAGAAACATTTTATGGAGTTGCAGTTGCAGTTGTAGTTTTCTTGGCAATACTGTCATCGTGTAATATCAAACTTTTAACAGTCATAGAATTTTCGACAGTATACGGCAGCGCTTTTTTTGCAACCCGAACAAATAGGAAAAAAATCGTAAGATCTTCTTACGAATGACTTGTGAATGCCGTGAGTTAAACGTACGACCAGCTTGCGAGAACAAAAACTCGTAAGATTGGCGTAAGTCTGACGTAAGAAGAACACAAGGCGTTCTTGCGAAAAACGTACGAACTCTGGGGCCATTGCATAACCGAAAATCTTCGTTTCTCAAGAAGGTCTTGAGTTGGTCTTGCGAATTAAACGGCGTTCGTACGAACTCCGTAAGAAGGACGTAAGAAATTTTGCCCCATCTGCGAATCTCTACGAACTCTGAAATTCGTACGAACAGGGAGATTCGTACGAACGAATCGTTCGTACGAACATTTGTGACCGTAGCATAACCTATTCCATCTGTAACCCAATATTTCCTTATGCTACGGTCACAAATGTTCGTACGAACGATTCGTTCGTACGAATCTCCTTGTTCGCAGATGGGGCATATATTCTTACGTCCTTCTTACGGAGTTCGTACGAACGCCGTTTAATTCGCAAGAACAACTCAAGACCTTCTTGAGAAACGAAGTGATTTTCAGTTATACAATGGCCCCAGAGTTCGTACATTTTCGTAAGAACGCTTTGTGTTCTTCTTACGTCAGACGTACGCCAATTTTACGAGTTTTTGTTCTCGTAAGGTGGTCGTACGTTTAACTCACGGCATTCACAAGTCATTCGTAAGAAGAGCTTAAGATTTTTTCCCCTTCTTTTTGGTCGGGTTGCAAAAAAGCGCTGCTGTATACTGTCGAAAATTCTATGACTGTTGAAAGTTTGATATTACACGATGACAGTATTGCCAAGAAGACTACAACTGCAACTGCAACTCCATAAAGTGTTTCTTGAACTTGCTGTTAGCATATCTGTTACTTCCTTTATTATAAAAGCAGTCATGTTAACCGAAGAAGTCAACAAGTTTTTGCTCTGTGGTGGCATCAAAGTCATAGGACTACTTCTCCTTTCTCAGTTTCCCCGTTACCTCATCTTCATCGCCGTCAAACTGCCGTCTTGATGGTTCTCCCTCCTCCTCGTCGTCGTCATCTTCCACCGCCTCCTCCCGGTCGCTTCCGATATGGCCATCATTTCTTGATATCAGGCGCGCCGAAAGCAGTTTGGGATTGGGGTGGCAAAAAATCCAGGGGCTCACCTTCCAGGGGCAGTGGGTTAATGAGCAAAATCGTTTGGAGGAGGGGGGGGGGAGGAAAATCACCACCACTCCTAGGCTTACATGTTACATGCAGGCCCCACGGAACATTTTTCAAAGTGGAGTATTAACGATCAGCTTAGAGTGTAGCTAGCGTAGCGTAAATTGGCGTGGGGTCCGGGGGCTTTGCACCGGCGGGGGTCAAGGGACTAAGCCCCCGGAAGGTCATGGTTTTTAGGCATTAAATTGCGGTCAGATAAGCATATTTAGATACCTTATTTGTGTCACTAGCAGGTCACTAATTGTCGGGGATTCCACGGAGCAGAGCCCACGAAAGCTCAGGGGTTATAGGTATTCAATTACGGTCAGATGAGCATCCAGGGGGCCCACCTTAGGGCCCTTGGTGGGGTCCAGGGGGCAGAGCCCCTGGAAGCTCAAAGGATTTAGGTATTCAATTACGGTCAGATGAGCATCCAGGGGGCTGTCATAGGGCCCTTGGTGGGGTCCAGGGGGCAGAGCCCCTGGAAGCTCAAAGGGTTTCGGCATCTAATTACGGTCAGATGAGCATATTTTGATATCTCATTTGTGACATTGGTAGGTCACACATTTTGTTCTCTCTCTTTCTTTCCTTTCTCCTTTTTTTAAAAAGTGAGGGGGGCTCGAGCCCCGAGCCCCGCCGTTCTGCAGGCCCTAACATGAAGGCTTCTAAATAAGCATATTTTTATGCCCAGCTGTTAATTTGGGAATTAGCAATTTTTAAAGGGATCGTTTAACAATGTTAAATCTGAGATACACGACCCTACGTGTTATCAGTGTCTGAGATATGGTGTAATATTGAAGCCCTAAAAAAATTGCGCTTCAAAATGATCAAGAAGTGCCTCAAAAAAGTAAAAATCTTTGAGTGACCGGTTTTACCATACTCGTTTTCCCCAATAGACTGTAGTGTTATGAAAACCGTCAGGCGAACGGTTTTCAAAATTTGTAATTCCAATTATAAATATCTTGATAATCAGACAGGCGATCGGATTGTAAAAGTCATGGGGTTCCTGACTGACCTAAAGGTTTATAATTATCATTGCATCATGAGCTAAATCCAGAATTTTGTTTCAGAATCTGAGACAAAGTTACCGGATCCCTTTAAACAAACGCATAAAAAGATATGATTTACCAACAAATTGGAAAAAAAATACCGGAAAATCATGTCATTTCAGCAACGTTTGTAAATCACTGGTATCGAATTAGAAATACCTCCTGCCCATTAGTACGCCAGTGTTCAGGGGCTCATGTCCTCTCACCACTATAATATTTAAAAAAAAAAACTTTCCCATCCTCTTACAATATTTCCACGATATGCGCAAATCGCATATATTATAAAAACATCCATTGATAAAATGTAGGAGCAAGCGGAATGTATACGAAATTTAATCCCTATTAACTTTCCTTTTCTTTGAATGGAATATAATTTAATTTAATTTAATTAAATTAAGTTTGGTTAAAAAATACAAACCATCTACATGTATACTCCTTTACTGCTTTTTTTATAGGGGGTGGGGGCGAATGCTCCCCCCTGCCCCTCCCCCCACTTCCGGCGCCTCTGCTTGATATTGCTGTTGCCGCTCTCCTCCTCTTTCTCCTTCCTCCTCATCTCTTTCCTCGAACAGATTTCCCCTTTGGTCACATATTTCTTCGACAGGAGATGCACCCTCGACGAACACTATGAACAGAGTGAGGCTTTATAACCGTTAAAACTCAAAATTTGCATAAACTGTGTACGTACACCTTACGAGCACCTTACGAACTTCTTACGAACGCCAGGAGTCATTCGTAAGAAGACCACAAGAATTTCCGCTCGTACGGCGTTCGTAACGTAAGAGCCCTCTATGAACAACTTGAGGCGTTCTTACGGTCATCGTAATAATTTGAAGCTTCTAAAATTGTCCCTCGACCCTACGAAATGTACGAAGATCTTGCGTGGTTCTTACGATGTAATTACGGCGTTCGTACTGCCACCTTACGAAGAGAGGGTTTCGTACGATGTTAAAAAAATCTTGGACAAGACCATCGACCAATCTGCGTTCTTACGAACGGTCTACGAACGGTCTACGAGCGCTTGTTTCGTACGGCCGCCTTAAGAAGATCTTACGAAATGGTCTGAAAATCGTTCGTACGGCGTTCGTAGCAGCCCGTAAAGGTATTTGTGACCAAGGCATTAAGTTGTATTAGTTTATTTTACTAAATCCATAATTGATATGTTATTTGTATATACATCTGAAATGAATTAGTTATCACCCTTTAGTCTCATTGGCTGCCAGTGCGGGGCCTGGGGGGGGGGGGGGGGGGGGGTGGTGGGGGGCGGGGGGGGGGGGGTCTCACTTAGCCCTAAAATCGATCTAAAAATCGATTTTATCAACGTTAAGGGGTTAAAATTGATTTCGATTTTAAGAGCTGTTTCACTAAATAAATAAAATCGATTTTGGCCTTAAAATCGATTTGATGAAACAGCTCACAAGTAAAGGTTTTAAGCTAAAACTGATTCGGCCTTAAAATTGATTTTTAAAATCGAAATCGATTTTAGTTGATGAAACACCCCCCCCCCCCCCCCCTGGTGGCCTCAGATGCTAGAGCTCTTGTGAATAATGTGCTGACTGGGCTAGTCCCTTAAATTGTCATTGAACGGAGCAGCTGGAGGGCACCGGGCCCCATCGGACAGAACTGATTGAAATAGGTTATATATTGCAAAATTGTTTACTTTACTTGTATCAAAGAGAACTGTTGCTGAGCTAGCGCCATGAGCGTCCCCGGACGGTGTATGCGCTATACACTATTATCATTATTATTTAACTAGCCTATGGGCCGATACAAATATTTTCGAATTATTGATCATAAACACCAAGCAATACGCTCACAAAAATGATAATCAAAATTTATGTCACATGTGTGTGCGCAAGCATAATTGTTTTGTACTGTATGTCGTATATATAACTGCACACATATGGTTTTCGGTTTTGAGGGCATTTCGTTCTCGCTGGTCTTTGGTCGACTGGGTTGTACTCGTTATACTGGGCCTGCCCATTTTAACGTAATACTACACTACACATTATGCTTATAACTACAAATCAATATTATTATACTCTCAGCGTGTAACTTACCTTTTACTTTCTTGGACATACTTCACGTTTACAGCCGTGTGTTCGTAGTCGCTCGCTAGAATGAATTAGTATGAATAACTCGCATCGAACCGCACCAGACAATTTTAATTGGCTATTAATCCTTACCAAGGTCTATTACTCTGAATAATACTTATTTTTGGAGTGGACAAATATATATCCGCAGGTCAGTAGTCAAGACCTTGGGAAGGATTAATAGCCCATTAAGCAGAAGAAGGCATGGAAAGAGGATAGGGGGGCAACAACTAAGGTATGTGTTCAGTGATTATACAGTAATACACAATTCTCGTGATTTGGGAGGGCCGTTCGGAGGCACATCTCTTCAATGATTGAAAGTTTATTTATATTTTTCTTCCTTACCGGCTTTGGTGTTCGTCATTAACATTAATTTGTGAAGTAAAGCGCATTGAGCAATATATTATTGAATGTTGCGCTATATAAAAAAGCACCTTCTTCCTTCAACGTAATTTTACATGCTCGTGTATTTTCTTCTTTCATAGGATTTCATTTGCACGAGAAGAATATAGAATAAAAGTGAACTTAACTATAGACATGAACATCTACGCTAAGACGAGGGATCTTACTGGGTGATATTATATCGAACCCCCCCCCCCCCCTCCCCCAGCTAAGAAGAGCCTATATAATATATTTGAGGGCTTATAAAGGGAGGGAGTGAGAGAAAAGGAAAGCGAGAATGAAAAGGAGAAAGAAAGGGAGACTATAGACCAGGCGCGGATCCAGGGGGACCGAGCGGGCCTTGGCTCCCCCCCCCCCCCGCAAAAAAAGGAGAGAGAGAGAGAGAGAGAAGGAAAAGAAGGGAAAGGGAAAGAGGAGAGAAAGGGGGACAAAGAAGAGGAAGAAGAAAAGAAAAGAGGGAAGGAGGAGATCAGGGGGGGGGGGGCAAAAGGACTTGCCTCCCAGGCTGTTGCCTCCCCGCCCACCCCCCCCCCCCCCCCAGTCAAAAAATAAAAGAGAAGGAAGGAAAGGGAATGAACAAAGAAAAAGAGGAGATAAAGGGAAGGACAAAAGAGGAAGAAGAAAAGAAGGGGGATATCAGTTGCAATTTTCCCACCAACAAGATGTAGATCGGGTGGGGGGGGGGCAAAAAGCCCTACCCCCCCCCCCCCGTCCCCGCTAAAAAAAAAAAAAGAGAGAAGGAAGGAAAAGGAAAAGAGGAGAGCTAAAAGGGAACAAAAAAGAGGAGACAAAAAAGAAAAGGGAGAAAAGAAGCGGAGATCAGTTGCGGTTAATCCCGCCAACAATGTGTGGAGCGGGGTGGGGACCAAAATGACCTTGCCCCTCCCTTGGAGAAATAGAATTCAAACGTTGTTTATTCCCGGGGTTTATTTCTAATTCCACAATGGTGGTTTACAAATAATGCTGAAATGAGATAATTTTCCGAGAATTTTCCTCACTTTATGCGTTTGTTGGAAAATAACAAATTCCTAAATTTACAGCCAGGCAAGAAAATGCTTCTTGAGACGCCTACATATCAGGGCCCGCGGAACAGCGGGGATCGGGATCCTCGAGCCCCCCCCCCCCCCACACACACACTTTCTTTGAAAAAGTATATTAAAGAGAAATAGAAAGAAAGAGAGTGAGAAAGAAAAAATAGTTAACTGCCAGTGTCACATTATAATGGGTATCAAAATATGCTCATCTGACAATGACTAAATGCCTAAAACCCCAAGGGCTCTGCCCCCTTGATTCCACCTAGGGACCTAAGGCGGGCCCTGAGATGCTCATCTGACGGTCATGTAATGCCTAAAACCCCTGATTTCTGGGGGCTCTGCCCCCTGGACCCCACGCCAAATAGTGTCCTGCCAGTGTCACAAATAATAAGGTATCAAAAATGCTCATCTGACCGTAATTAAACGCCTAAAACCCCTGAGCTTCCGGGAGCTCTGTCCCATGGATCCAACCAAGAGCCCTTAGGCTGGCCCCTTGATACTCATCTGACCGTTATTGAGTGCCTAAAACCCTTGAGATTCCGGGGCTCCGCCCCCTGAACCCCAAGCCAATTAGTGACCTGCCACTGTAACAATTAGGTATCAATATAATGCTCATCTGACCGTAATTAAATGCCTAAAACTCCTGAAATTCCGGGGCTCTGTCCCCTGGACCCCGCCTAGGGCCCTAAGGCGGATCCCTGAAAGCTAATCTGACCGTAAATTAAAACCTTCAACCCCTGAGCTTCCGGGGCGGACAAGGTATCAACATTTGTTCATCTGACCGCAGGCGCGTAGCCAGGGGGACGGTGGGGTGGTCACCCCATAAACGCCGGCCAAAAAAAGAGAGTAGTGAAAAGGAAGAGGACGTAGGAAGAAAAGGAAATAGACAAAGAACATTTTTGAAATTCAGACAAGGATTAAGAGTCGAGAACGGTACAACGAATCGTCTTCTTTCTCTAATGATTTAATGAAACGTAAAAGCTTCCGCGCTTCGCGCGGGAGGGGGGGAACTGATATTAGACGAGGATTATTTTGGGGGAATGGTACAACGAATCGTCTTCTTTCTCTAATAATTTATTGAAATGTCAAAGCTTCCGCGCTTTGCGGAGGAGGGAGGGGGAAAACTCGCCCCTCCCTGCACCCACCCACCCCTTATTACGTCACTGCTGGTCACCATTACGTACCAATATTTGGCTCGCATAATTTCAAATTTGGGCCTACCCCCCTAAGAAATCCTGGATCCGCGCCTGATTATATGAGACGAGGACAAATATATCTGTCTTGGAATAATGGCATTTCTAATTTTTCATTTGAAATGAAAATAGTGAGTGTAAAATCTAATCTAATAAACAAACACAATACATGTCAGTAAAGGATTTACAATGAAATCAACGAGTCGTTTAATTATTTGACAGACGTTATAAAATGTATGTGAGAAATGAAAATGACAATGGAAAGTGGAATAAGATTACTTTTGCATTGGAATAATTACATTATACCATACACAATAAAGGCAATATTGGTTTAAGATCTGTTTTATCATAATGCTTTCGAACATGTCATTAGATTCAACATTTTGTATAAAGCTATTCGAAACTTTAACACCTCCGTATCTAAACTTTTTTTTTAATTCTTAAATACATTAGAAAATGGAGGCCTAGGTAAACAGCAGCCGAATTGTTAACTCTTATAAACCTTACCATGTCTATGAAAAACTGTTTTAGTTCAACGTGTAATTATGTTGAAACATTTTCATAAATACTTTTTAAATGCATCAAGCAGTCCCGCTTGCCAACAGCTCATTTATATTTTAGTGGTTTATTCATATTCAAATTAATTGCATTATAATCAATTGAACTCTCAATTTAAGCAATTGAATGGGTGTGACTCAAAGCAAAAAGTTCACGTTAAAGTTTTAAAGCTCATCAGTACTAGTGTAAGGGAGGGATTAAACCACACTGCAAGGTCACTGGACAGGTGGTTATTTCATCAACTCAGCTCTCAAATAACAGAAGAAAAAGAGGATCATGGGGTACCAATGGTCACCGATTAGGCATTGTTTGTTATATAGAGGGCGCAAGTAGCTACAAGTAGTGCAGTGGTGCAGTGGGCCTTTAAGTCAACTCTGCACACATAGTGGTAACTCTCTGAAAGTGATATAGTGAGCTAACTTTCTTTGTAAGGAAACCATCCTTATTTGCCGGTTAATACATCAATAACCAAACGGCCAATACATTGTTCAAAATTTCTTCAGCAGACGAGCCGGGATGTTTTATTGGTATTGTCATTCAACCTTTCATCATGTTTATGCTTCCGCCAAAACTTTAACTATTGATCCCATACTTTTTATTCAGGTGTTACTTGCGATGTTCCTGATGATGTTGTGTATACTGATTTACACAAATCTGTAAGAATTGGAGACAGCGTTATCCTGACATGTCGGTTTCGTGGGGAACCTTTAGCTCTCTATTGGAAGAAAGGAGATGACCCAAGAAAAGCACCAAACCTAGTCTCATGGATTCCAACCGATGATGTAACAGGATTATGTGAAGGTGACAGGCCGTGTAGCATTATGGAGATGAATGAAGATCGTTCTTTGGTCATCAAGGAAGTCAGCATTGCAGAAGAAGGTCGATATATATGCAGAGTTTCGAGCTACAAGGGGATACTGATACACAATTTTACTGATGTAAATGTCTATGGTGAGATAATGATATTTTACTTTCTGGTTCGATTACAATCAGCGGCTAGGCTTTATACACATTTTTCGAAGTAATAATATTTATATGTGTACGTAGTTATACATTCTTCATGGAGTTTAAATGTTGTTCTTCTGTTTCTCTTAAGCTCCACCAAAGGAGCCCTACCCAATCATCAAAGGGTGCAATGATTCTGTAACACTCGGGAAGAATTACGGTTGCGTCATTTCTACGCACGTTGGCGTCAACATTACTTGTTCTGCATCCGACTTCTTCCCAGACCTTCATCTCTTCTTTTTACATGGCTCTGATATGATTGCTCCCCTAGGGATCAAGAAATGGACGAACGATGATGGAACAAGAGGCAAATCTGTTACCGTCAACGCGTTACCACATGAAATACCTTACGTCTGTGTTGCGTCAGATGTACCGGGAAACCTGGAAGAAAGAGCTGGGACTGTTTTTGTAAGCCTGATTCAGCAGAACGACACTTGGATGGGTTCCACTCCAAAGCCTCACGAGCCAATGGGTGCCGTTATTATTGGTAAGCATGCTGTCAACACCTCGAATCTAAGCCCATGATTGCGCTATCCTCGCTAAATAATTTGTGTGTGTTCCTTTATTTGCTATATGTTGTGAACCTTGTCGTTTGCTTGCAAAGGAAATTGAGGAAAAGCATGAAATAAACCATTATCTTTTACCCTGGTAAAATAAAAATGATGTCCAAATGAAAGGTAGTTCATGAGCTGTTAAACTAGGATATTAACACCAACACATACATTTCCCTTTGATTAAATTTACTTGCACAAGCGGTGCCCTTAAAGGGATAGTTGAGTTTTGTTTTCAGACCG